AACAGAGTACAAGAAGAAATTTGTAACTTTAAATATTCAGAAGAATGATGCAAAACCTCTCTACAAAAAAATACTCCAAAATATGGATACTATTCAGGAGTCAGATAAATAGCAACAAGAAAAGAAACACAAAAGCGTGACATCTCATGAATTGCTAGGTGCGACATTATGCATCTTCATGGTTTCTAAGATCTGGTGGGACATGAACACCTAAGAGGACAGGCAGGGTCTTTACACGGTTATGAGGTACCAGCCCCACATACAGAAGGGCAAATAAAAACCACACACTAAAGCACAGACAACCCACAACAGGTTGTTTACCCAACTCTTAAATTTTATTTCCATTTAGTATACCATTAAAAAAAAAAAAAATCTTGATTTGAGTTTGGCAAATGTGGTAACTTACCAAGCTTCCAAAACCTAGTGATGTTTTAATATATTAAGAAAAAAATGGAAATCTGCAGTTCAATTGTTAACAGTATGTATGATACTAAAGGTTAATCCAGCTACAGTCAAGCAACCGAGTACATGTGTGAACCCCCAGTGCAGCTGTCTAAAATCTGGTTTCCCTCAGACACACATGTTCAGCATCAGATCTCTTAATTTATTCAATTTTTTCCTACTGCATCCAGAGCTGCTCTTGGCAACACCAAAATCTTGACAAGACTTTCATCTGGAAACAGATGTTTTAAACCACATAGAGAAAATCCAGAGTAACTTGCAGCCGGGAGGTCAGGATGCTTACCTACCCCACAGGATTCACCAGGTTGAACACTCAGCTCAGCCCATTTCCCCAGCAGTGACTATCCTCATCACTATGCTACGGCCTATTTTGGGCTCAGTCTTCTAAGCTGCTCCACGGCATACACAATTCTTCAGGAATTTCAATATTCATAAAATATTTTGAAAGGTCCTAGTTTCATACCAAAAGAGGAAAAGAAGGAGGCATAACCTCAACAGTTCCTTATAAACTGCTCAAAGGAAGTTAGATGCTCTTAAGTATTTCTAGAAACTACTGTATGCAATAACGCAGGCTATTAGCATACGTTATTTGTGCAATGCAATACTCAAGAAACATCGAGTCAGTTGTTTTTACCTTGTTCCTACTAGAGAATACCTGTGTATAATACTTCTCATTTTGTGCATATAATTTTCAAAGATTCTGAAAAAACACTTACGCAGTCCCAGAATGTAACTTCCTTATGAACTGATCATTTCTCAATTAATTTATAAACCAATGTGCAATTAATATCTTTTCATTGCCACTCTAGTCCATACTAGTTTAGGAAAAAAAAAAACCAAAACTGGTTACCTTGCCACAGGCATGGTTCACACAAGTTAACATGGTTTTATGTATGGGAAATCAACTGAAATTTGAATATGATGAATTGACAGATGTGCAACTAATTCAATAGTGCAGTCCATATCAACACCCCCCAAAACCAGACTGAAAATCCTCCACACTGCCAAACTTGTCCCTGTTGAAGCCAATGCCTTGCTGAAGCCAATGGAGATTTTGCCATCTATTTCAGTAGGGCCAAGATTATTTTCTGTAGTTGACACATCTCAATAAATTCAAGCTTCAACACCAGATCTTGAAATTCCACACTCAGATCAAGTTCACAGTAAAACTACTACTGCAAGTTCCACTTGAGACATAAGACGGCATAAGATCAGCCCTTACAAAAATGATCAGTCTCTTGCAATGAAGTTAAAACTTTCTCCCTGGACTCCTCTCTCTTCACTTCACCACCCTTTCTTAATACCTTCAGTGAAAGAAAGGCTATTGTATTAAGTTTTGACAGCAACGTGCCCACTTTCTTTTCCTTTTGGTAAGCATTCCGTTACTCAAATTAACATCAGAAATAGCTCTGGAACATTTTAAAACGAGTGCAAGAAAATAAAAGTAATAAAAAAACTTGATAGTCTATTTGCACTAGTTGATCATGTTTTTATTTTGTTTAAAACTGCAGCAATTCTCAAATAAAGCAAAAATAATACAGACATGGTAGTTCAGGGGCAAATGAACATTCAAAAATAAAGATACACGTATTCATTTAACTACATGATGATCCTGAAAAAACATCAGTTCAGGTCAGTGTTCATGCATTTATATTCGTGCAACAAAGACTTTACCAATACTGCTTATTCCAACTTTCAAACTAGAACAGTTGCAGGTCACAATGAATATTAGAACAGTTTATTACTTGCTGCTTTTCCTCTACTGCAAGAAAGCAAAATATGCTTGTTTTTGTAGACAATCCCCATGTCTATGCTGGACCAGGTAGGTCACCATAGAAAAACCTTTCAAGCACAGATGCAGCTTATTCCAGCAGAACTACTAGAAGAAATTATGCCAACTCTCTGAACAGAATGAACTACATTATCAAAGAGCCTCTTATGTCTGGACTGTATCTGTTACTTACGACAGCACTCTCACTGCCCCATCTACACTAAAAAGCACCAGCCATTACACTTAACCACAAGCCTAATGCAGCACGAAAATGCACAATCATTGACTATTAGAGCCACATTATAAAACACAACTGCAGTTATGCAGATACAACTTGTCTGGAACCGAAGTGGAAGTATACCAGCAAAACTCTGAAAATACAGCTAGAGTACAATGAACACCCAAGTAGCACCCCAACGCATCCATGCCTGCAAAGCTCTTCGACTATAGACTTAACCTCTGTTGCAAAACTTTATGGATACAGAAAGGGACCTTGGAGGAAATTGGAAATGCAGCTTATACTAGCAGGATTTTGGGTTTTTTTTCTCTCAGTACAACTAAACTAAATATATAAACTCTCCTGCAAAAGGACACATGGCGGGGGGGGGGGGGGGGGGCCGGACACGGGCAGGGGCGGAGCAACAGGAGAAGG